AGATTTCTTGCTTACCTATGCCTATTCGCTATGCTGAATCCGAAGACCCACACTGGAGAGCGCGGAAAGAGAAGAAGGTTTCAACACAGGAGAGAAATCCGCAGGTGGGTGGGGTCTTCCACTTTTTGAAGACATCATCCCAGCTTAGCAATCTTCTCGCTTCCGCTAGTCGGGCCAAGCGCGAACGCTTGACTTGAAGCCGGGACCGAGAAGATTGCTTCGAAAGTTGGGATGATGACTCACTAGAGTGGAAGATCGCGCCCACCTGCTGATTGTCCTCCTGCCCTTTTTCGCCATTTCCGCGCTTTCGAGGGTGGATTTTCAAAGTCATAGCAAATACGCCTAGGTAAGCAAAAATCAACAAAATCGACTTCTTGCCCGGACACTGCCTTTCAGAAGAATTTTCAGAGCCTTGTATCATAGTCGTCGCAACTACTTGAGCACACTGCAACAAGATGCTCAGATAGAGGAGAAGATGCTTGAACACGACAACTACATTGCTACTATTTTGGATGATGTAAGAAACTCTTTTCAACCTTCTATCCACAATAACATAAACAGATATCCTTGCAGTATTTCAAACGACAGCAACGAGCTCTAACGGAAATGATGGTACCGGGTTTTACCGTCACGGACAACCCCTTCGAGATTGAGATTCAAATGTTGATTCTAGAGTTCATGCTGCAAGTACGGTAGGTGCCTGAGTACTGCTAGTGATGCCTCTTTATCTGGGTTGCACTTGCAGACTCCCCGAGCCGTACACAAACGCACAGTCGCAAGGATCGACAGTGCCTATTGTATACGTGCAGTTATCATAACAATCTTTTTTTCTCGGTTTTAGGCTTGACAGTGCGAGCTTCACATCATCATGAAACTTCACACTCGGGTGCGCATACTACTTTCGTTTCCTATTTTGATACTGTTGTTTCATCTTCTAGCCTTTTGCAATAAATTCGTTGATGTATGTTGGTTTATGACTTGCGATTGAAATGTATTTTCTATGTCATTGGGAAATAGAGGCTCGCGGCGCGATCCAGCGCGTCCGCCTCGCAAAGCTGGCTACGCTCTCTTGCGTCAACGCTGATCATTTCCCCCATCTGAGCGTAGGAAAGACTGAGCTTCGATCGCTAACTGAGCATGGGAAAATGATTAGAGAGCACGCTTGCGACAAAGGTGCAGAGCTAAGCGAGGCGGTCGCCCTGGACCCGTTTTGGAGCCTCCATCACTCCTAATGATACAGAGAGTAAGGCTCATGTAGCAATTTGCTCCTGGCTGCGCACCACATGAGCGGGATCATGTGTTGTTAACCTTCATATGCATCTCTTGAACTCGCAAGGCAGTAATGAATTGAATACAGGCTTAGAGTATGGAGAGCGGATACACCGGAGTGGGTCAAAGCAGGTGTCCCACAAATGGAAAGGAGTACATGAAGCGATAAGCAGAAGGGAAGTACACGCACCTAGAATTAAGTCATATTAGAAACTGTATACCGGCCAAAGCTAATGACATAATGTAGTTTGTTCCCCGGCAAGGTTCCCATAGGTACCACGTCATC